ATTTATAATACATATTTTAAGAAGAATGTTCGAAGGTTGTTGTTTTGCTACAGTTTATATGACATATACGAGTAAATAACTTGCGTAACTATTCAATATTACGTTGTAATGAATGGAATTTCTTTTAACTGGGTCACAAAATATTTTCGAAATAAAAAGATAAATGTTTTTAGTTACATAGCTTTCGAATACATTAAAATACGGATTTTTTTTCCAAAATATATAGCTGTTGCCCGCGATTTCGTCCACGCAATATTAAGATACAAAAGTAGCCCGTCTATGTCATCTACCCTTCAGGGAAAGTCCGGTCGAAGCGACCCAGCTGTTTCAGAGATTACCCGGAACAAACGCGGCTTGCGGGCAGACAGATAGACAGACAGACAGACAAAAAATTTTTATATTTCAATTTAATAATTTAAGTGTTAGTAACTTAATTCTATTATATTTTGAGAATAGACGTTAAAATGTTCATTTTAAAACTCACAGTAAGGCCCGCCATACGCAGACCGCTGCTAGCAGTGAACTCTAAGAGCCTCTAGATTACAGACTTTTTATCTGTCGATAGTTTTGTCGAATCAGGCTGTCAAGCCAAAATCTTAATAAATTGTTGTATCGTGTGCACCTCTATACATGGTCACACTCATCAAACGCCCGACTAAATTCAGCCAAATAAAACGCCTAGGCTGTGGGGTCTCTTATCGCAGTTCACGGTGACTTCACTACAAACACACGTTGCAAGTGACAACGAACACAAAGAAAATCCCAAACGACAAATAAATAGCATCAATCAAATGGCGATTTGACGTGTTGGTCCACTTTCGACATCGCCGACATAATTGTAGGTTATGTTAACGCGGGGAAAGTGGAAGTTAAAATATAGAAAGAATGTCTCTCTAAATTTCGATTTTATCAAGGTGATCAAGATGGTAGAATTGTAACAATTTTTTATGGCAACTGATTTAAATTGTGTCTGACCGAAAACTTTTGTTATGCACAAACCCTAAATTGAATCAGGTAACATACAAAAAATCACAAAACTCTACATTTCAATTTGAAGTTTTATTAGTTACTAGCTTTCGCTCGCGACTCCGTCCGCGCGGAATAAAAAAAACAAAAGTTAGTAGCCTATGTGTTCTTCCAGACTATCCACTACATTTGTACCAAGTTTCATCGAAATCCGTTTAGCCGTTAAGGCTACAAACTCTAACAAACATCCATCTATCTAAACTTTCGCATTTATAATATTAGTATAGTATGATATAGGTTTTAAATAATTTGATCAAATTAATTTCAACATATATTTTTAATTTTAATATTTCACACTTTGTTTCTACATTTATTTTGGACTTTAATTAGTAGTTAATTATTCGTTTATGAGTGTAATTTTGGTTACAATGCATATAAAATGTTAGCCTTGGCCGACGCTTATCAGAGCATATTTTAATGTAATTTATTCGCCAACACTTGGCCAAGCGCTCTGATAACATCTAATGGTTCAACTGATCTTTTAATACTTGACAAGTAATAATATATACTAATATTATAAAGAGGAAAGATTTGTATTTTTGTATATATTCGATTCACGTAAAAGCTACTAGGGCCGATTTAAAAAAAATATGTAGTTATCTGTGAGTAACATATGAAGGTTATATCTTTTTATTACTTTTTAATTTACGCGGGCAAAGTCGCGAGCTAGTAAATGAATAAATAAAAATATTTGTAAATGAATACCATAGTTTATAAAATAATTTAAAAACGTTACTCTTTGATTTTAAAATGATTTGTCATATCTTGATTACTGACACGTAATTTTTACGTGCGTGCGTGTATAACATAAAGTAACTAATTACTGCAATACATTAACTCGTTAACTTCAAGCACTAATACTTCAATACCTACGACAGAAAGGTAAAAAAATCGCCTAATTATTTTTTTCACTAAAAGTAAAAAATCCACAACTTCGTAGTTGTAAATGTCTGTTCATAATTAATTCATGTATACCAATGTTTAAAAGTTCATGAACTTTATAAAAACATGGTATACCTCAACCTGGTTCGTCCCTTTCAAGGCTTTACAATAGTCTGAGAACTTAAAAGGCAAAATACCTTTTAAGATTCTAGGTTAAATTACTTAATGTAAATACTATCAGTGGCAAACAAGTTTTTATTCATACTAAAAAAACACAAATGCTAGATAATTGCATTTTATCACAATGCCATTTTAAATCTATATTCTATCTCTATCTATACTATTATAATAAAGCGTAAACACACATTTCTTTGTTGTCTAAGATGTCAGCAGTTACAGCATATTTTTGAATAATTCTTTTTTGAATAAAAAGCCCTATACTTATTCACGCTTTAGGCTATATATTTTCAAACCATTAAACATTTTGGATAAAAATTTGACAAATGTAAACAATAAAATAAAATTATCATAATTCCATGCGGATGAAGTCGCATGGGAACAGCTAATAAAGCGTAAACACACACTACTTTGTGGCGTAGGATGTCAGCAATGACAGCATGTTTTTGAATAAATCATTCTGTAATAAAAAACCCTACATTTACGACATGCTTTAGGCGCTTTTTTCACGTAATAACGTAGTTTAATAAAACTTAGGGGGTAAATAAATTGGCAAAAAAACTTTATGTGGGAAAGGAACCATAAACTGTAAGCTGCCAACATTAAGGAAGCAAAGTTAATATGGTAATGGGCATGACATTTGCAATTAAGAATTTTGACAAATGTAAACATAAGATAAAGTTTTTATCATTTCACGCGGATGGCCTGCACGGGAACCTAGTAGACCATAATACCACGTGGCTTAGTGCTTGCTTGGCTTATCGCCCACGTGGTTTAAAATCACCTTAAGTTGACCACTTAGAAAGGGAATTCGTCCTTAAATCGGTTTCGAAATCGCGCCTCTCGTTACATAGGATTAGCTCGTAGAGAATTAGTCGCGGCTGGTTGCTGTAGCCACAGCGCCGGAGATCTGATATCTCGCATTTGATACTGCGCTTTGGTGATATACCACAAATATATAATTTCATCGAATGATTACACTCAGTTACGCAATACGTGAAACAGAAATGTATACGGACTTTATTGGCACACTACTTAATCGTTAGTTAGTCATAATCAATACCTTATTGTAGACATTTAATTTTAATATAATTTTTTAAAATTAATATCTATCTATTAAATATAACAGTAATGGGGATTTTTTTAATTCATTCAATTTTATATTCAAATTCGATAATGATAATAAATGTTAAACACAACATTAAAAACAATTGAATTTCTATTAAAACCTTTGCACATGTCCAATTGTAAGTTAATGCAAGTATGAGTTTGCATTAGGAAACAGTGTTGACAGACAATTGCTCAGTTCTGTCCACCCACTTGAGTATTTATCAACTAATATGTATAGAACACCCGCAGTGGGCCAGCGTGGTTGACTATGGCCTAGTCACACTAACTTTAGGGTAAGCTCCGAGCCCCTCGATGGGGATGATGGTCAGCTGGTGATGATGATGATGTATAGAACAATATTCACAAGTCACAGTTATTTAATTAACAACTAAAATGTTTTAACACTAAACAACTTTTCTTTAATAAAAACGTAGTTTTAAAAACCAGTCACCAGCTAAAAGTAACAATAGGCAAAGTGAATGTCGAAAGAAGTGTTAATACGTAAAATGTCAGTCGACAGTTAAAATTAACCGTATAATTTTAACAACAGTTTACAACATCAAAGCTCTTGTAAAAGTTATTGCATATTTCCAGTTATTTCGTTGCGTTTCTGAAAGAAAAAATCTCAAGTTCGCATTCGCATGTCGAAACAAAACAATATGAGACATAAAACTTTCACAAATTATTCTAGTTAAATCTAAAAAAAGCGTATTTACAAAGCAGTTTTTTCACTCGACTTTCTCTTGTGTTAATATGTTTTGTAAACTAAACGAATCGTTTGATATTAAATTACATGTAACATACCTGTAGAACACTATATAAATAATTCAGTTATCATTTTTAGTATTAAGTATGTAAGTTTGGATGTTTGTTGGTCTCGATATTTGACACAGATGTAGAGCATAGTTTGAAAGAACACTTAGGTTACTTATAAAGTTTTTTATTTCGCCCGGACAAAGACAGGCAATAACATTAATAACATGGTAGAAAAAGATGTGATAATTTCCGAACAACAAACTTTATACATTCCAAAATTTCTATGACAGTATACAATATGTTCAAAGTGACCCAAAATTGTTTATACCATAACAGTATCTATGCCGTTTGGTTTACGTAACGCGTTCCCACTAAATCGCAACGGTTACACTTTTTCCTTCAACGCCCTGCCATTACATCGTATGACTAGGTCGGAATGTGTGTCGTAATTTTACCAACAATAATGCGTAACGCAAGAACAACTATTTCATACTTTGGTTGAATTGTTTTAATTTATTATATATAGTATATAGTACTCTAATAACACATTGGTACATTAGAATCATATTTAATCGTCTACTATCTAATAATAGTTCTTATATTAATGTATCTATAGTTCCACTCATGACTTACGAGACAAAAGCATTAACCAGACTTGTTCAAATGAACAATGGGGGAGTGTTACGAAACTATAATTCATTGTTACGCCATTAACTTTTAAGTAATGAAATAAATAGTACATAATAAACAATCTTTCATGGTTTTAAAGTTTACTGATTCTCAGGTAGTTTAAAAAAATGTTCAAGCTTTAATTATAAGTTAAGAGAAGTCCAAGGCCGAGTACATAGAATTCTTACACGGAAACACGATATCGTGTAATTGATGGTTAATTGTATATTTTTACGGTTAAATTTAACCTTAAATGGGTAAATTAACCTTGGGTAATTCTGGTTAACAGAGTTATATGTCATTCTTGTTATTGTTCTTGTTGGGGTCCTACGTCACCCGTCATCTGTATTGTTTTAACATTACTATGCATACTGTTGCAGGTGCTATGTGCAGTGCTGGCGGTTCTATCTGGGCTGGAGGCGCGCACTCGGCCGCGACTGCAGCAGCCTGTGGACGACGCCTATGAATATGAACACCAAGGGCCGCAGAGAGGAAACGTAAGTCAATAATTCTACCAGAGATATAACTGTACTTGCTAATAGATAGATCTATAAAAGATGGCGCACACCTTTCACTAAATTATCGCTGCGATTGTCGATTGTTTCGCACTCAATTCAACTGTTTAATGGCACAACTAAAAATCTAGTAGTGTGCGCACCTCTACACAAGCTCATAGGAATCAAAGTGAGACTAAACAGTTTTGCGATAATTTAGTTTCAGGTGTGCGCACGCTCTTACTCACTTGATACATGACTCATAACATATTACATTTATAAGCATGACAATGTTCAGGTTTATTGTATTAAATTGCTATATTGTGTACTTGCAGGTTGTACTCGTCCAGGCAGACGGGTATGATGACCTGTACCGTGCGTCAGACCGCATCGACGAGGAGTACGAGCCCCGCGTGCCGCAGCGCGCCCCGCCCCGCCACAAGCAGCACCAGCAGCCGCTGCAGCCTGAGGGGCCCAAGCAGCCGCCCGTGCAGACTATCCGCAACTACAATAAAGTATGTGTCTCTGCACTTACTAGGGTTCAATACAAAAAAACAAAAAACTACTTCAATGTGTCACAAGACTTATTGCTATATATCACTTTACCTCGTTTGAAGACACTTAAACTTTGAAGATTTCCACACTGAGAACTAATTGAATATGAAATCACTTTTTATTTACTTAATTTCTAGTCCATCAATAATCATGTCGAGTTTTGAATCCACGATGTGACGTTCACATGTTTGTTATTCGTGTTTTATCATTAAGAAAACTTTTTCAAATTTCAGGTGAATGACGACGGCAGCTTTACGTTCGGATACGAAGCGGCCGATGGCTCCTTTAAAGAGGAGACGAGAGGCACTGACTGCGTCGTCAGAGGAAAATACGGGTACATCGACCCCGACGGTAACAAACGAGAGTTCACCTACGTGTCGGGCAACCCCTGCGATCCCAACAAGCCCAACGAGGAGGAAGAACCAGAGTCCGCCGCACCCGAGTCCGCTGAGAGAGACGATGGCATCCCCAACTACCCGACCAGGCCGCCCGTCAGGCCCACCACAGCGAGACCGCCGACTACCTACTTCCAAAACGACTTCAGGGACGCCGACGAAGAGGAACCCGAAGAAGAACCTCTCCAGCAAATCAGACCTCGCGTCGTACAACGCCCGGCTCCTGTCAGAAGGCCAATTTACCAACAACCGCAACAGATTGCTATCACTCCTCGTCCTCTTCCAGTTTCCACACCTAGGGCTCTTCCACCGGCGACTACTTTCAGGCCTCAATTGGTGCAAGTGACTCCTAAGCCACAACCGCAGCCTCAGCCTCAACCGCAGATTCAGTACAGCCCGGAACCAAACTACTCGCCTTCTCCTTCTCCGGTAGCGGTAACGACTGGTAGACCGGGACATATAGATTTTGCTGCTGAGTTCGCTAAATTCCACCGGGAAAATCAATATCAGTCGACCACTCCTTCGTCGTTGAACACGCAAGGAAAGACTACTATCGGCGCCCCAGCGCCCAGCGGTAATCCTCTATACTCGACCGAATTAGTCTACGATCCGTCTAGCGGACAGTACAATACTCAGCTTTTCCAAACGCTCCCGCAAACAAAGGGAGAATTGAACCTGAATCAAAGACTGCAACCGTACGTGGCTCAACAGCAACCTCAGGCTCAGAGACCTTTCATTCCTTCTCCGCAAATACCAGCCGGGCCGCCAACTTCCAGCGCGCCTTTGTACAGGCATCAAGTCGCGAACCCCCAGGAGGCGTACCAGAGACAGCAATCGGAGACGCAGTTCCAGAGCTCGCAGCAACTGTTTGCGCAGCAGCAGCAGCTGCAGCAGACCCAGTTGCAGAGGGATCGGGCGGCGGCGCGTGCGCAGGCGCAGCGTCTCGCCCAGAGCCAGCCCGCACAGAGCCAGTCGGCACCGCGACCAGCTCCGCAGTACTACTACGTGGCTCCCCGCGGGGAGTCGCCCTCCTCGGGGCAGATCGACGCCTTCCTGAGAGGACACGGCATCCAGTTCTAGTTGCTTAGTGTGTGAACTGTTACAGCTAGCGACCGATTTAGTCCGAAATGGCCATAATTAATCACAAGTCAGATGACATCGGTCGCGCGGTTGTGAGTGCAAGTGTTTAGTTGTGGGGACATTGGCCGCATTTGTACATATTACTCCGTCCTCTGTACCTTATTTTAATGTCGGTCATTATTAACTGAGTACATTTTAATGTAGAATTGTTACTGTAGTGCACATGGATAGTCAGGTATCACGCGTATATCCCTATCACATATCGATATATTTAAATATTTGAAAGGACAGATTTATGTAAAAGAGAAGTCCGATAGTTGTATTATTCGCTGTCTCAGTTAATAATGTGACTGTAGTAAAGTTTAGCTGTAAGTTTTTAATGTAACGAACGAAACATTTTGTACGTGATAGTCTCCGATCGATCAGTGTCGAGCGTTTTGTAAAAAAATTGCAATAGTAATTTGTAATAATTTTTGTTTTTAATAATAAATTATATTTTTTATATTATTATCAATGTTTTTCAATTATACAACCCTTCTGTGGCTGACTAAGCGGCGGTGCGGTACTCTTTGAATAATAAAAATGGTTACCACACGTTTGAATCAAATTAACCACTCTAAATTTCTTCAATTAATAATGCTTTAACGGTAGATAACCTATATTATAATTACCTGTTTAAAGTTATTTCTTAAAAATCATAAAACAACAATCACAAACATAGTTAAAAATCAAATACGTAACACATGCTTTAAGTAACATCGACATACAATGTAACAATTAAGAGCGCGTTCACACCCGAAACTAAATTATCGCACAACTGCATAATCGAGCTTTGATTTCTGTGATCTTATACGGAAGAGCGCACACTACTGGATTCTTAGTTGTCGTAAACAATTGAATTGGCTGCGAAACAATCGACAATCGCACAATAGTGTGCGATAGTTCAGTCAAAGATGTGCACCCGCTCTTATGTTACTGATAATGTGGTAATGTGGATCTTGGAATTTACTAAATCGATTTCGTAAAAATTGATTGGAAGCCAAATAACTAAGTTGCTTGTTATTTACGTCGTGCTGTTACCAAACGTGAACAATAACGTAACTTTTAGTATGAAATTTTCCAGGGTTATTTAGTGTAGCATCTGTTTCTTTTCATTTTGTAAAAAAGCAATGATAATTTTACTTTAGAGACTTATAAGATAAAACGATACATAAAGAGACAAATAATTAGATTGTAAAAATAAGTTTAATGTATAGATTTCGGGTAAAATATCATAAAAAAAATACGAGGAAATGTTCTATCCTTTCGGTAGTAATCATTTGTTTCCTCGGAATATTTAAACAAGAAAACCATTTACCGCCATCTTTTAGATGTGGTGGTGAGTTAAAAGAGCTTCTACGAAAATTTATTGCAAATAATGTATGTTTATCACCGATAGATGGCTCTGAAACAAGAAATAACAAAATGAAAACTGTTTATTAAAGTTTTTGGATAAAAAAAAAATCTGTTAACAAGAGTAATTAACTAATAATTTTAATTATTAAGATAATTGTAGGTTAGCGATGTCTTCTTGTTTAATATTGATAGAAGATCTACAAAAAAGATAGTCCCGTGAGAACAGTTTGAAATCATAACGAAAGAAAACAAGGATGGGAAATCATTTTACTCACTCTTACATAACCTCCTCCCATCATGTACATAAGTAAATGATTTATATCATAATCGTGATATTAACTGTATATCTAAATTTACCATTGTTCAAAAATATTCAAGTGTGAATTTCAAGTGATTCAGGACGTTATCATTAAAAGATATGTGCATATGTTGTTTATAGTTTTGAAATAGGTAAGATAAACTAAGAATTAAGAAGCATCATCGTACCAGAATCCGGAATTTATCATTCTTTAATTCTATTGCAAGTTAACTCAATAACTGATCCTTCAGTACGTAAAATTCATAATTTGTTAGCAACTAAAATTATTGTTAAACGATAACAAAACAATTGACTCGACCTTGACGTGCAGCGTGAGAAGAATTAAAACACACCGCCTTAGTTACCAAACAATTCACTAATTAGAGTACACGAAAAATAGCTTTAGTGTTTCATCGAAAACGCAACATATCAAACATGCAATAGTATTACAACTAATACTTATTTATAAAGTGTTGAAAACTGTCATCACGGTTTAACATTCTAGACATTTCGTGGATAATTAGACAATTGTGATTACAGTATGTGCAGAGGCATAGAAAAAAGATTTTCCGTTTCAGATAATGAAATGACAACAATGGTGCGGTTTGCGTAAGGCGTTCGCACGCCGCGGCCGCGAGTGGGGCGATATTTTATATAGGGAGGCAACGGGCGCGGCGC